TGTGTGTGTGTGACTGGATATGTAAAGCGCTTTGGGGTCCTTAGGGACTAGTAAAGCGCTAAATAAATACAGGCCATTTACCATTTAATCAGTAATAACCTAACAAGTAAGAGCTACTGTCCTACCAAGTGTTGATTATGCCATCTGTTGGTTGCGGTGAAAAAAAACATGTTCTGTAAACAAGTCTTACCCTCTTCCAGCAGACCTCTGATCTGCTCCTCCTTCTCCTTGATGATCTCCATTGTATCACTGGCGTTTAGTCTTGTGGAAAGCTCCTCTCGCAAACCCTTTATCTCCTACAGCACCAAAAGAATAAAATAAAATCTTTGCCACAAAAATTTTGGACATGTAAAATTTTAATTGTCCATCTAGAAGTAATTGTGGTAGGAGAAATACATGAAAGGTCAGCACAGCCCTTGGAGAACTTTATTTATTTTGTTAATCATAAGTTAACAAGTCACAGACTAAGAGCTCTTAGCATTACCTTCTTAGCTATGTCTCTCTCTTTGCAGGCCAGCTGAGCCTTCCTTTCTGCCTCTGCTATACGCTGGGTGAACTCTTCCTTCAGGGACTGAACAGTGGAGCTCTCCTCCTTCAGACCTATCACTTCACTGGAGGATGAAAGACCTCATTAGTTTAAAAGCTCATTTTGAAAGACAACCTCAAGACCAAGCCAGCGTTTAAAAATCCATACTAGTAGATTAGTAATGACAATTCAGAGTCACTTAATTTTTAAGTAAAGGATTTGAAATTCTTAGCAGACTCTTACAGTACTGTCATGCCAATTTAGAAATCCATTTCATTAAATCAGATTGACTTATTCTCCCCTTGCTTGCTCAGTGTTTGCACAGTGGCATTATGCTGGTGACATTTCATCTCACCTACATATCCGGAAGACCAGCACTCCTGGCAAGACTGTTTACACTTCCTTTGTGAACCAGGTGTCTGCCTCATACTCACTCTTTCAGATTGTCACACTCCTCCTCCAGTGTGGCCTTGTCTTTGCTAACTGCCAGCAGCTGAGACTCTCTCTTCTCAAGGCGCCCTGATAGCTCATCAATAACCTATAACGTGACCACAACATGCTCTGTATTTACAGAAGATTCTAAAAATGTCGCAAAAGAAATCATTTGGTTCTGTTTAACAAGAAGCGAAATTCTTAAAGTTTATCAATAAAGATTCCAATTTGTCAGGTAAATACATATTTATGGATAAAGAGAAACATTACTTAGATTATAAGCACTGTTACTCAATTCACTGAAAATAAATCCATGACTACTTTTGATACAACCAAGTAAACGATTTAGTCCTTTCTTAAGCAAATATTCAACAAAATTGCTGATTAAAAAGAAGCTTTAAAATAATCTTAAACAGAAAAAACAAAGTACCTAAAGTCACACTAAATGCGCTGAAGATCAAGCGCTGTACAGTTCACAAGCTGTCGTGATGCTGTGACATGACAATCTAACAAAGCAATTTCTCCCTTTCTTGCATATGGAGGAGAAAAACTATGCTAAAAATGTTTTTTGTAAATTTATTATTTTTAAATGTGACTCATTTGCGACTTCATCAGTTATACATTACTTTTCAGTTACAGATAAAAACCTACCCTTCTTTGAGCAGTAACCATTTTGCAGGTTGTATTCAATGGATTTTAGAAGCAATGTGGACTTTTTCCAACTAGATCTGGCAGTATGTGCATTGCATAAACAATCTTTTCAAATGACAGGACCAGATGCAGACAGCATTTGGTTACCTTTTGAAGCTCCAGTATCTGGACAGTTGAGGCACTTTTCATTTCTGCAGTGATTGGTGGAGTGATCTGTTCTTCAGCTGCAGCGGTGGCATCAGACAGTGTGAGATTAGCCTCCTGCTCTGTCAAGTCTTCGGGCTGCTCGCTATTCACAGGTGTCGCACTTCGTCCGCTTTCCTCCATCTCATCCAGCGACTGCTCCCGCATTGTTTCAGTGAATCCCTCCTCGTCATCTTCTTCCTTCTCATCTACCTTTGCTGCCTCTCCACCTTCCTGCTTTTGACATTCAGCTTGTTGCACTGTTAAAGGGGCAGGACCCGCAGTGACGGATGCTAGAGTCCGACTGCCAGGGATTTCGTCATCCGAGTTGACCTCACTGACGCTCCGGCTATCCAGTGACTGCACGCTAAAGGAATCAATACGCTCAAATGCATCTGAGGAGGAACCACAGCTCTCTGTGAGTTTTGGGTAGTCTTCTAGTCTAGGAAAATCTCCACATGTGGAGGCAGTGAGAAGCTGGAAGGAGCCCTGCATTAGGTGAAGGCCAGTCTTTCCTTCACCGGTTTCTTGTCTAGAGCTGGCTGAGCTCTCGCTCAGCACACTCTCATGGTCAAGCACTTCAATGTCACTGGTGGTTGAGGTTCCTGAGGAGAAAGCACTAACTGGAGGAGAGGGTGTATCATTCTGACGATCCTCTGTCTTTGAGTCTTTATGCTCTAGGAGTACTTCCTTAGTGGATACGGGAGGTGACGGATCAGAAGGGGCAGCACTCTTAGGTTGAGGGGAATCTGTGGTATCCTTCTCTGGTTGGTGTTCTATTGAAGTGTGTGACTGCTCTGCTTTTGAGTCAACAGAAACTACTGAGTCAGCATCTGTTTTCACACTGCTTGCTTTACTGTCAGAGTCACAAGGAAGATCACTGGAAGAGGAAACAGGAGAAACTGGCTGCAGGAGGACAGTGTCTGCTGGTGAGGGCTTGATCTCCACCACCTGGATCTCAGCAGCTTTCTGACTCTCATGGATCTTATCAGCAGGTCCAGATTGAGGACCCTCAACCACGAATGACATTTGACTCTCCACATCTTTTTGGACAACAGCCTCTTTGATTTGCTTTTCTTTCTCTTGAGGCTGCCTTTGAGACTTAGTAGGGGGTACTGACACAACCTGAGTTTTGGTGACAGCCTGTGAATCTCCAGGTAACAAAAAGGCACTGAAAAAATTTTCGGATTCATCCACAACAGTACGAGTGACGGGAGTAGTGATGGCTTCTGATGAAGGGGGTGGTGTGATGGTCTTTTCCTCGGTGGGTGCTTCCCACTGTGTCAGCCCCCAGCCTCCACTTAATGAAAGCTTTCCAGGTAATGTGACATCTGCTGAGAAAGATTATTAATGTCAAGTCTTTCGATAGCTTTAGCTTCTAATGTTACATTTGCATATCATTTACATACATCAACATTAGCTGTTAACACGCTATATTACATTAATTACTTACCGTGGTGGGGCATTACAGTTGTACCATCCCACTGGTCCTCCTCTTTGATGTCCAGAACTCGGTCGATTGACTTCTGAGCTGATGTTAAAGCTTGTTTAGCGAAGCTGGACAGGTGAGATGCGTTGAACCAACTCATTTTGCTTATAAGGCAAGACAGCAAACAAACTCCAAGTTCAGGATTTGTAACACGGATGTTAGAGCGAATTCAGCGTCAGCAGAAGAATACGTTTATTTTTTCCGTTTTTCCATTTTTTCATATAGATATATAATCAACGCCGACTGGTTGGGAATAATCTGCACTGTCAAAAAACGGACTGTCCACTCCAAGCTTTGATGACAGCAAGTTACCAAACAGCTAGTTAGCAATGCATACCTTTGGTGTATATGGACAGTACCAATGCACTATAGTTTCGGATCGAAAACTGACAAGCTGGCCCTCAAAATCGCTTTCACGCCAAAGGTCAGTCATGCAGGAATACAGTTATCCCCAGAACTCTGCAACCATCGCAAATTCAGACCATTCTCACGTTTAATCCCAAATTTCACGGCTACTTTCCTTGGTTGTCATCGTTTGTTTTGGTCGCTCACAACTTGTAGCAATGCTAGCATTAGCTTGCTCGCTGCTTCCTTTTCCACGTAGCACAGTGACGTCATTATCCGGTCTGAGCCGTAACCCAGCGAGGAAGCGCGTCCGTGCCCCTCCCCCTCCGTAAATATTAGCACAACAGACAGCTATCAGCCAGTAAACGGTATCATTGGTTATTAAACTGTCTCTTAAATCTATTTTTGTGTTTTATTTATTAACCGAGGATACGAGTAAAATAAGGAGTAAAAGAGAGTTTGACTTTGAAACCATTTGTCATTCGTTTCATCAGTGTTTATTAACCAAAAATGTTTGTTTGATTGATGCAAAGAACTTTCTTAGAAGGAAAACCAAAACCAAAAATTCAGCTTTAGAGAAAGGACATTGCAATATGGTCTGAAAATAAGAACATGAACAATATATATATATATTGGGGTTTTTTGTGATATAACCCTGGCATTCAAAGGCTGTATGTAAATATGTTAAGCTTCTGAAGTTTACCCTGGCTCTTGAGCAATCCTTTTGGGAACCAGATCCACATAGGACGTAGTGCCAACTCCTGCTAAGAATAATCTCATTATAACACATTTAATTGGAAATATCTATATTTAAAAATATGTGAATGTGCTTGAATATGTGAGGAAAAATATTTGGTTATTTAAAGGTGGATTTTGATGTAATTTGTTTGCTGAAACAGTATTTTCTGGTTTGTTGCCTCAGGGACACTATGCAGTTAAATCACCTTTCTTAGGGCAATACTGATAAAGTAGTGCCTCTAAACTTTGGTATTTGAGACTGCTTGTTTTAGGTTTTAGGTGCTTAACTGCTCTAAAACACCTGATTCTGATCCATTTATCAAGCACCTGCCATGTTTAATACCCAGCTGATCATCTGAACTGTTGGAGCAGAGATTGGGGTCATGGTTTTGAGTTTGGTTAAGTGGTGCAAACCATACATTAATATTAACTAACTTCTAGGAAATGAGCAACAACAGTGTGTATCTATATAACACATTTTCTAGTTGTTTCCACCTCATCCAAAAAAAGAAAATTACAAAGATGTTTAATATCAAGTGTAAATTGGCTTCGCACCACAAATACAGGTGATCTAATTAGAGATGGAACCATATAACAAAACATTAACAGCTTTTGTGTTAACATTTATATATAAACAACATAAAAATGATTAGATTAAAAAAATGAATAGAACGCCTGCTGACCTGCTCCTCTGGTAGATTTTGGATGTGAGGGGGGACCTCAGTAAGTAACTGCTGTTGATGGCTTTTTGAGTTGGGTGGAGATGTTGACATTGCAGGAGAGGTTTTCGAAGATTTAGACACCTAGGCTCCACCTGTTTGATAGAAGCAAATCTAGTCGAATTTATACATTTTCTTTGTTTTGTTTCGGTTTATCTGTCATTTTCTTTTCTTTTAATTGAGCAGCTAACACAGCTAACACAGCTAACGCCTAACAGGAAGAAGGTGCATGGTTTTGTTGAGCCTGATCCCTGCAGTTTAGGAAAAGAGATTTACTGTCATGCTACGGGATACATTTGGTTACGTATAGGTTCATAGTCAGACGGAGGACGCTTCAGCATGCCAGAAAAAGAGGACAGGAGAATTTAGATAGTAACAAAACCCCTAACATTAGTGCTTCTCCAATTTTTCCTCTTGGTTTTGAAGTATTTCTTTTTTCATCGTATCACTGGAGATGCTACCACACCAAAACATTGACACCAGTGTTATATTCAGACCTGGACAAGTAAAGACATGGCAAATTGTATAATCAGTCAAATGAACAGGTTATAATCCACAATCAAGAAAATGAATCAGAAAGGAGACTCAAAATAGTCAGTCCTCAACTGAATATTGGTTGATTTTGTAGCATCTTATTTATTTTATCGTGCTGTATGTCTGTTGGATTAGACAACTGAAGTTCAGTTACAAGTTATGTTCAAATTAACTTAAATTTTATTCCGTTTTTTATATAAACCACATATAGCCAATAATTTCCAACTACAGTTCTCAAGAAAAAACTCCAACAATCAAATGATCCCCTGTGAGCAAGCAATTAGCAAGACCAGGGAAGAAAAACCTCAGTTTAACAGGAAGAAACCTCCTGCACAACCAGGCTCAGGGAGGGGCAGCCTTCTGCTGGGTCCAACTGGGGCTGTTAATGGAACAAGATGTGAAAAAGGAAAACATACAGAGACAGGACAAACCACACCCTATTAGTTATAGAAGAGAAAGGTTAATGACGTGTAGTAGCTGTCATGATATGAAATAATAAGACACGGGGTATCTTCAACACGACTTGCTTTATTGAACCGTAGCAGGAGCGTACATGGCTATAGCATTACTCAGTAGCATAGCCTGTCCTAAAGAGTCCTCCCATGGCCGCCCCCTCTGGTAGCCTTACTAGGACAATATAGATGAGATTTGAGTTGCGAGATTTCAAAACAGTAGTGGAATATAAATACAACCTCCATGCTCTGTAAGGGTTAACTGACCAAGAAGGAGAGTGGTGGAGTGCTCTGCTAGATGGGCTGGCCTCCACAGTCCCGTGACCTAAACCCAATTGAGATGGTTTGGGATGAGATGGACAGCAGAGTGAAGGCAAAAGGGCTGACAAGTGCTCAGCACCTTGACACTCCTTCAAGACTATTGGAAAACCATTTCAGGTGACTGCCTCATGAAGCTCAGTGAGAGAATGCCAAGAGTGTGCAAAGCAGTAATCAAAGCAAAAGGTGGCTGTTCTGAACAATCTAAAATACAAAGCATGTTTTGGGTTATATCACATTTTTTTGTTTATTACATAATTTTGATGCCTTTAAAGAGAATCTACAATGTAAATGCCCCCCTCCCCTCTTTTGGGGTTCTTGCTCCAACAATTAATTTTAGTAGTTAAGAAATACAGAAAAATAACTCTAAATAATACAAAAAAAAGCCTTCACATTCATTTATGACCTTGTACTGGATTTTTGTTGTTGTTGTTTTTTATAGTGTGGTAACAATAGTTCTACCCTATCAGCAGAGTGGTCTTACCTCTAGGGGGTTGAGGTCAACCTCTGAGATCAGTTTTAATCTCTAGCAGATATGCTGCTGTCCCATTATAAAGTTATAGTAGTCACTGAGATCAGAATTACAAAATTCTAAGGGAGCATTGTTTTATTGGAGCGACCGTGGCTCAGGGGGTTGGGAAGCGTATTTGTAACCGGAAGGTCGCCGGTCACCCTACTGGTGTTGGCCAGAGGGGCCGATGGCACGATATGGCAGCCTCGCTTCTGTCAGTCTGCCCCAGGGCAGCTGTGGCTACAACCGTAGCTTGCCTCCACCAGTGTGTGAGAGTGAATGAATAGTGGCATTGTAAAGCGCTTTGAGTGCCTTGAAAAGTGCTATATAAATCCAATTATTATTTTATTTTTGAAACAGTCACTCACTGACCCTACAGCAATGTCACAGCAGGGAATTTATGTGTTTTGAGCACTTTTGTTCCCATTTCAGAGGTACTGGTACCTGATAATGCTCTTACTGATCATTTGTGTTCTCTCCAATATGACTACCTCCACACACACACAGTCAAACTGGTGAACCACTGAAAATACCAATGAATTATATTTGTAATTGTGAAAGGCAATCACTACTGTTAAAAATATGTTAATATGAATTAAAGAACCTTTGGCAGCGACTGACCTTGATCCTAGAACGAATAGGACACTAAATCAAAAAAGTGGAGGAAAGGTGGTTTTATATGGTTTTACCAATTCAAATTTTGAATCCATTATTTTCCTTTTTTTTTCAAGATTTTGAAAATCAGTTTTTCTTTAAAAAAAAAAAGATTTTTATTTAATAGATTAATAGTTCATTTACAAATATTTGTTTATAATTATTCTTTTCATTTTCCTTTTAAGTTATCAAACAAGAGTCAAATTTAATGTCTAAATGAATAGAAGATATTAAAATGAATGTATAAAATGTATTTCCTCAGGAACATAGATGTGTGAATTACTGCATAATTAATTAATAAATCACAAAAAACCCCACTTGTCTTTCCTCTTCCTGCCACACATTAAGTGCACACAAACTTAATAAAACAAACAAAAAAAAGATTTTATTCCAGTTCACACATCATCATTGTCGATGTGTTTTACCACTTCCGTGGCTAAACATCTAAAAGATGAGTTGAAATAAATAAATATTCATTTGTAAAACAAGTACAAAGTAATCTTAAAACAATAACCCTTGCATCTGTCATTGCACAGAACATGCTATAGGCTCCAGCAAAATATTAATGCAGAAATCTGACATCAATTATTCACCAAAACATAACCAAGTTTGAACTAAGATTTGGCTTTTCAGTGGAAAATGTTAACTTTAGTCAATACTTGTACTGGAACAGTTAAATAGGTTATAATGGTTGACATTTTGACTGAATAAGCAGTAAACTGTTGTAGCTTTTAGATGAGTTGCAGAGGTGCTTGATTCTGTCTCATGAGGTAAAGCAGAGTTTGAACAACACAGTCTGAGGTGTGGTGACATCAGCTACAGCCAGCTCTTGTCCGTCAGCCAGCCCCAGCTCTGGAAAACATGTTCATAACATAAGTGAGTCAGCACATTCACAGTGAACTCATCTGACCAATGTGGAAACATTTTCAGTAAATAAACCAACACACCCTTCAGGGTTTTGGCCAGATTTGGCCGCGTCCTCTGTTCAATGGAAGCAACCGACTGTAAAACAAAATACTTCAGCTACAACCAAAACTTGAACTTCTCCAGAAAACACCTCAAATTGCTCAAAGATTGAACTAGAATACAAAACTGTACTAAATGGGAGGTTAATTACCTGTAAATATAAAGTCTTATTCTTTCCATCCATCGTTGTTGTTATGGCAGGTGATTTCATTTGTCTGAAAAAAATCCATTGTATTTGGTTGTTGGAGGCATTGCAACATAAAGTAAATTGAATATAGCTGGTAGTGTGATACAAACAAGGTGGGAACTAATATTAGGGCTTCACAGTAAGTGAGGTAAACGTACAGGGAGGTGCTCTCGGTCAGGTAGTC